CTTTGGGGGTTTCATTGGCATCAGAATTGTTAGAAAATACAGAATCAACTTTCACTTGGCGAAAAAATTCAATTTTGGCGAAAATCGACTTTCACCCTTGACCCACGTGAAAATGAAAAATTTTTTTTCCCCATTTCTGTCACCTCCGAGGGTTTCATTGGCATCAGGGGGTCAATAAATACAGAATCAACGTTCACTATTTTTTATTTAAACACCGCCTGCAAACGGGGAGATGAGGGTGGCTAAAATATATTCTGCAACCCTGTCTCCTCGTTGGCTACAAATTTCAACCCTCCGCATACATGCCTTCCCTTTCACCCGCTCGTAAAATCACGCGTTCTCGGTAGCATCGAGGAGGACTTCTCAGGACCGAAAAGAACTGAGGATTCGAATGGTCTCTGGAAAAGTACGTCGCAGAACTGATTAGGACTTACCAGGTCCATCTAGGTCTGGAGAGATCTTGAAAGACCTGTGTACGTCCAATCAGAACCAATTCCTCGACTCGGGAATGCAGTTCGACCAATGTGCGACAAGGACACGCTCGAAAAAATTTAATAGAAAAACCTACTGAATTCGATTTTTCTATATCACTTGCTCTATTGAAATATTTTTTATAAAATTTCCTCGGCTCAAATTTTCTAAGGTTTTTTCATTCTATTTTTCTTTGCTTTTCACCAAGAATATCCAACAAAAAAACTTGAGTGAAACAGAAAATTTTAGCCAAGGAAATGCTATAGAAAATATGTTAATAGAATAAGTTGTATAGAAAAATCGAATTCCACATACTTTTTCAATAAAATATTTTCTATCGAACATTTCAATAGAATCGGCCAAAAACTAATAGAAAATTTAATAGAATTCCAATAGAATCTGTCTAACGAATTCGCTAGGTCATTCTATTGAATTTTTTTTCCGTAATGATCTTTACTTTTTCTCGTCCGGGAATTAGTAGTAATCCTTCCCAAAACTCGTAAAACTGAAAGTCACTATGGAAAAATATCGTTCACGGCTAGTGCCATGGGTTTTTTTTACTCGCGTGGAGTTGGCGTCCGAGCCGAAGGCATCGTCCTGACATATACTATTGGGAACAAGAAATATCGTTGAGGGCGCTGTTTTTTGCCAATATGGCCGTCAAAGAGGTATACACACACGCGCTCACACAAGCCCCCATTTGCTTGTGTATCGTAGATGTGCACCCTTAACGCAGCCATTCATAGAGGGCGTCTTGTCATTAAGCGTCCCCAATTATACGTGGATTTTTTAGCTCGTGTGATGGACAGCTCTGGGCTTCGCCTCCAGCCTTCAACTTCACACTCATAACAAATCTGTCGCACTTGTATCGAAATAGTCTATTTCCACGAGAGTTGAGCTAGTATATTTCGATACTAGGGAGGCGGAATTTTCAGGAGTGCGAAGTCGGCGGCCCGAGGCAAAGCCCAGGGCTGCCAATCACACGAGCTGAAAATTTCCGTCTCGTATGTGTCGAACAATATTTTTTGAAAGTGATATTACGTTCAGCGAGTGGCCGAACTGTGCCTTTCACGTTTACAAGTAAACGAAAAGACTTTTCCACTTGCCGGCACGAGGTGAACGTAACAGCAGTATCTGAAAAGTCGTAATCATAATGCGTGTGAAGGGGAGTTTTGTGTACGCGGAGTGTACATAAAATGTCACTTTACACGCAGCATGATGAAAATGTTATTGGTTGTTTCTAAATTTAAATGAGTTCAGGAATTCTCATTTTTCTCCTACAAATTTTAGAATTCTATTGAATTATCAATTAGATCTGATATTTCACGATTTTTCCTTCCAAATCGTATCAAATGTCGCTCTCCTAAATTATAGCCTGGGATAATCTAGAAAGTTGAATATTCAGGCAAAAAAAATGAAGAACTACTGCGAAATATTCAAACTAGAAGGAAATATCCGAAATAAAACTGTCGGGTAGCCTCAGATACTGCGCTCTGATTGGTCAAAATCCGATTGGGAAAAATAATCAATTAAAAATACTATATTGAATATTGAAATTAAAATACAATTATATTTAATCTGAAAAATACTGAAAATGGAGTTGGCTCCACGATTACTTGATTTGTTTGGTAATTTATCCCCAACTTTTTCCTCCACGCAGGAATCAAGAGATTCCTGGGGTGCAATCACATTCGCAGTTATGACTACTTCATCGAAAGCATCAATACTGTCTGCCCATTCTTGGCAGTCCCATGTTCCTCCTGGAATGAGTTTCAGCAAGGAATGTGCTTCGATTGTGTCAACCAATACTGTCCCAGACTGGGATTTGATGCGCAACCAGGGAATTATCACGCATCAGTGTACCTGATGACGGCGTCAGAGAAGCCTTTCTGTCGTAAGTAGTTTTGTTGCCACTTGTAAGAAAGTTAGAAATGTTGGTACATGTGAGGAAAGTACTTTAAGGATGTTTAGCCAGTGTCGGTGAATTGTCGGTAAATGTGTTTTTTTTTTTTTTTCATGAAAAAAAACATTCTGTAATTTTTTCGACTGACAGCAGAACATATAAAACTAACTTTTCTAACGTTAAAAAAATTAATCGCAATAGTTTCGGTAGAAATGAATAAACCAATTTTTCCTGATACACGGGCTTTTATAAAATTTATGTTCAAATTGATAACTAGAATTGATACTAGAAGACTCTAAAAATCGAAATAAAAATAGAAAGTAATGTGTAAAATCATACTGAATCCAATGGCCAAAGAAAAATCTGGGGTACCCGGGCAAAAAGAGGAAATATTTGAATGCTTCTATCTCATATAAGCGCATGTTAGCGCATGTACAGTAGAGGCATCGTATAAGATAACTTAGAGACTGTAGAAGAGTGGAATTCCGCACTGATAGAACGGATTGTTGACGAATGGATTTTGGTTGCAGGTTAGGGTCTATTCGGTCCCACCAAATGTTCATTCGTTAATAGTTAACGAATGTACATTTGAGGAGCCTTGTTTGACTTGACTTTCGCCATTCAAGTGAACCATTCGTTAACTATTAACGAATATTCATTTGGTCATATTCAACTCTTCCATTCGTTAATAGTTAACGAATCTCGTTTGGAATAAATGAATCATTCTATCAGTGCGGGAACCCCTATGCCCCCACTACGCGCGCCCATAGGGAGGAGAAAAATAGGGATCAGCGGGTTTCAAATAAGATATCTCGCTCGTTGCGCCCGAATTCAATGAAATTTTCATTTTTACTGAATGAATATCGATAACTAATCAATTTATGTGTTTAATGTTTTGAATTTGTATCGCCCGCGTTCCCGTTTCTCTCTAAACATAACCCCGCGTGATAGAATGGCAACTGATGTTCGGGAATTGTTGGTGGACTCGAGAATAATCACCGTTTGACCCTTAACACCGTTTGATCCTTATAACTACTCTCTTCCCGTTGAAAAATGACCCGGGCCATAGGTATCTTATAAGAAACCCACGGAACATTAACATTCGGGAGGCGACAAAAGTGCCGAGAGTGCACGGAGAGAAATTTTTGATAAAAATTATTCTACCGTTCTATAAAAGTTCTCATTTCTATTACGCAATTTAGTAAAAATTAATATATGATTATCAAATTTTATGCTACATTAGAGAAATTTTATCCTGACGCATAATAAATTTTACCCTTCCAGTCCAATAATTTTTATGTAGATAACAACGAAAATTCTAGAACGGGGTAAATTTTAACCTACCGGTACAGTAATTTTTACTCTACCGGCACGGTAATTTCTATTTTTATCAGGATAAAATTTCTCTAACGTAGAAAAATTTCTCTCCGTATGGGGGTAGGCCTCGAGCGCTCGGAGCGCGAGGTATCTTATAGAGAGGTATCTTATACGAAGACTCTACTGTACTTGGTGCATTTTGTCTATTTCATTTCTAAATAATGAACATACGTTGGTAAATTGAAATTTGCATCAAAGTGAAAGGAATATCTTCATCTCTCAGTTTAAAAAAAATTAATTATTTTGAAGTACTTGCGATTTTGGATAAATGCCCTTAAGAAAGCTGCAATTTCTCTAGGGGGCCATTATAAAGTCTCGATAAACATATCAAAGACTGATGAGAGTGTGCAGCACGGCGGAGACGTTGGAATTTTCGTCATTAGAGTCATTGGGGCTGGGGGGAAGATGTCGGAGAGAATTCCTCTGAGTGAAACATCGAGGTACTATGAACCTGGAACATCACACACTTTGGTGCTCCCGGGCGATCTTGTGGGGAAGCCAGAGGCAGTGGAAATCAAGTGGGAGTATCAAACATCCGTTTTCAATCCTTTAACCTGGAGATTTCTGGAAATACCGAAGGCTTTCATCGATAGTCTGAAGATTGAGAGCCTTGAGTTCGCTTCTGGGTAATTAATAGAATCCTTAAAATTCTTTTCGTCGAGAGGAGGAAAAAAGTTTGAGGTTCAGGAAAAAAATTGCGCATTTTAAGGGCTTCTCGGCACAGTGTCACTGAAAATAAGTGATAGTTACACTTGAGAGGGAATCTTTTTCATCGCGCTGGCAGTAAAACGGAATTTAAGGGTGCCAAGTGAATTTGGCGATGACCTTGAAAATTGACATTCACCAACAAAGTTATAATTTTTTAAATTAATAGTATTAGACAGATGGTGAACATCGGTGACAATTTCAAAATTTTAGAACTTATGGATATCGAGAAATTAAATAAACAAAATCAGTCTTATACACGGCCTCTTATGGAGTTTTGATTAAATTGGACGTTTCCACCCAGGAAAAAATTTGAAGATATGAGGAATGATGTGTTCAATGTGATGGCGACAAAAAACAATGGGGTACCGGGGTGAAGAAGAGATATTTGAACCCGCCGTACCCATTTGATCCCATGCTTTCTCGAGGTTCGTCACGCGAAATAGAGGATTTTCCGCATTTATTTTCTCGATGTCTAGTTCCGGTTGCGGGCTTGAAATTGCGTCGGATGGATGAATACATATTTCTCCAATGATGGAGGGAAAGAAAAGATTTTTTTTGAATCTTTTTTCAAATTCACTTGGCACCCTTAAACACCATTCACAGACAGTTTGAAGATAAATTAGCTTCGTCACTTGCACGGAGAGAAATGTTCAGTAAAAATTACGAAACTCACAGTTCGCTCACCGATTACGGAATCGACTCAGAAAATTTAAGCGACGGTATCGTAATTTTTTACACGAGATTCAGGTAAAAATTACGGAATGCTCTGCAAAAATTCCGTGACAGTTCCGTAAAATTTACTACAACCACATTTCGCTCTGGAGTTAGGGAAGAGATACGTAATTTTTATTGAATATTTCTCTCCGTGTGGCCGAAAATATATATTTATGTCATTCCGGTCGCAAAGCAGTGCACGGAGAGAAATTTTCTAGAAAAATTCTCGTATGAGCACTGGAAAAAATCACAATCCACCGGCTGTGAAAAATTCTAGTGCCGTTCAGGAAAAATTTCTTGGTATTTCTGGTAAAATTTCGGGTGATTTCTGCACTCGAATTTTATCCTCGCCGTCACTGCGCCTCTTTTCCCGTGTTAGCACTAGAATTTTTCTAAAAAATTTCTCTCCGTGCGCTTTCAACTTGCAATCTCTTTTTTTTCTCAAGTTATCGTGCGTACCAGATTTTTCATGAAGAACGGAAAAACAGCAATATTTCCAACTGCGTATTGGAGAGCCTAGATATTCTGGTTGACTTACATAGAGGCCATCGAGACAAGTATTTTGAAAAAAAATTGAAATCGGTGCAGTAGATTTTGAGATGTTGAGGAAACCGAAATTTAAATAAGTTGTTATATCTCAGGAACTACTGGAGTGATTGGGCTGCAATAGCACGCCAAAGTTGAGCGCAATAATAGCTGCAATGAGCCAAAATTTCAGATTTTTATTTACAAATTTCACGGTATTTATGTTGAATTTTCTCAAAATTAATTACCAAAAACCCAAGTTGTCGGATACATACATACAAACGTGACCTTAACGACATCATTTCTTCAGGTTTCATAACATTTGCTAAATCATTTGTAATTAAAATTAGAAAATCAAAAAATCGATCAAAATTTTTTTATTATTTTTGCTTCAAGTCGGAAGCAAAAATAATAAAACAATTGATAATTTAAATTTCCGATTGATAATGAATTAAATAATTGATAATATAGGACTGTCAATTGTCCATTACGCGAATAATACTAGTTTCATAAGGCTGTAGTGGTCACGCGGGGAGTGTGGGGCTCCGGCGGTCAACCAAATAATCGTTAATCTTCCCAACTAAATTATTGATTGCTGAAATAATTCGGAATTTGAATATTTAATTGACGATTAATTTTATGTTAAAAATGGTAAAATACTACTGAACAATTAGCTAGTTGAAAATTTAACGCTAGTTCTAATTTATGATTATGGCTACGTCTGCGCCCGAGATATTATCCACAAAAAAAGAGCAACATATGTTCTTAAAATAATTACATCTCAGTTCAGTAAAAGTGAATAGAAACCCCTAGCGATAGCGTTAGAATTGCCCAATGAATTTTTTCATACGTGATACTCTACTTATTCCTTAATTGTTCCAGAATCACAGTGTGTCCTGACGAAACAAAAGAATTGATGGCAAACGAACCAAGAATTCTGACTGTCGACAATTGTCGTCACGCTGACGTAAATGTTGTGACAACGTGAATGAAAAAAAAACACCTGTATTATAATTAAAATACAATTGGACATGAGAATCAGAGGAACGAGTTGAAATTCCCTCTCGGATGAATGAAACCAGGAGATCTGGCTTACCGACACGACTGTTAAATTCATTCAAAATATTTGCCATAAAAATCAGTGGGCGATCAGCGATCGATATGCGATGGCTAGATCGACCGCAGATGGCGCAGTGTGTAGTGCAGAAATCCGTGAAAACTCGTGTTAATGTTATGTGAGCAAAAAATAGTGGAGAGTTTAAATGATCGAATGAGAGTGTATGACTGGGTAATTTTGCACAGGCGTTTCGTTACATCATAAATATGCTGAATATATCCTAGCTTTTAATTGCGGAAGTGTCATAAACTATTTTTTCATGATTATGTGTATGTGTGATTGAACAATAGCAATTTAGGTATTTAGTCTCACTCGTAAAAACTATGAATACCGTGTGAAATGGAATAAAAGAAATCATCTAAACGAAAGTGATAATAAAATGATCCAGGTATTTTTTTTTTATGTAGCAATAACTTCCTCAATTCAGGTGTTACATCGCCTGCAGGCAACTGTGACGGTGGACTTTTATTTCGTTAACTGCGCAAAAATTAACCAACACTGCGGAAGTCCGCGTGAACAGAGCTCCTGAACATATGCCTATTGTATATCGAATTTTTATTATTCATGTCATCACGATTAATCTTTGTTGAGAAAGTAAAGAATTCATGGGAAGGAACGAATCACCTCAACGTTTCTCTGAAAGTCCTCTGCATTCCCAATAAAAGAAAAAAACCTATGGAGGATAAGGTGAAAGACAACGAAAGAATCAATGGAAACTGTAAATTTCATTTCGGTTATTCCATGAAAATTAAGAGAAAATAAAACAGGGGCGCGCGTTGGTCTATCACGTCCTTTACTTGCGAGGATCTTATTTTTCTTCAGTCACACGTCAAATGTATTAAATTTTATGCACTCATAAAAGTCAATGATGCACAGGAACAAAAACGCAATCGATGATGGAGATGAACGATAAGTGAAAGATTAATGAATAAAGTTCAGTCTTTGACCAATTCCCTTTCATTTTTCAAAGTGACCCGATCAATTCCAGTAGTTGGTGAAAAATAAGGGAAGTGTTGCGATCGATTGTCTCAAAAAGGGAACAATTTTCTTCAGTTATTCAGACAACTGAGAATTTTCTAAACAACTGAATAATTTTCTAAATTGTGCTGCAATTAAAAATAAAAAAACAGAATTTTTTTTACGATTCTTTAAGAAATCGGTAAATTTTCTTGGTTTTCTACAATTTAGAAACTATATCCAAGCCGAAAAATGGATGGCATTGAAATTGATGGGATTCAAGAAAGCGCATGCCAAGCATGAAAAAATGGATAACTATGACGCGAAGAATCATTTGTAAGTTTGAAGAATTGGAAAATACCGTGAGTTTTTCAGGGACTAACGTCACGCGACTCATTGACCAATCAGAATTGAGGATTGGCGGCCAAGTAATTTTTATATATTTCAATATAAAACAACTTCACGAAACTTTCATCTTTTGAGGTGGACACGTCTTTAATTTCATGTTGGGGGCCATTCTCGGAGTTACCCCTGACGGTCAGTATTGCCTGTCGAAAGTCTAGAAAATTCTAGATTTTTCCATAAAATTCGCAAAAATTCTCCGATTTTGCAGAAAATTTGAAAAAAAAACGCACCCGCACATGAGTAACACCCTAGACTTGTATTCGTTAAGTCTAAGTGCTGTATCAAGAATACAGCCGCTTCGGATTTTTATGGATAAGATCACAAATAAAAAATAATTAACATATTATTATGGACTTAAGAACTAACATATTAATTTAAATATTTAGGTATAGTATTTTTCGGCCGGAATTACAACAAATCTATTCTTGGATTTTCACTTAATTGAAAATTTTGCGCAATTTCATATGGCATATTCACGTTTTGATTGAACATTCAGGTAAGTTGGATAATTCCCATTCTCCTCCTGCTCAAGAAGCTGAAAATCCAGAAAATTTTTAGTGAAATTTGAAATTGCATTATTAGCCAGCCCCCCCCCCCAATCAAATTCAATATCATCCTCCTGAAAAGTACTCCTAAACTGTCCGTGAAATCAATTTTTTTTACTATGCGATAATAAACCAACACTCCGGAAGTTTGTGTGGATAGACCTCGTAAGCAAATGCCCCCATTGCATACCGAATTTTTATTACTCCCGTCATTACTATCAATCTTCATTGAGAACGTAAAGAATTCATGGAAAAGAACAACACACCTAAACGCTTCTCTGAAAGTATTTTGCATTCTCAATAAAATTAAAGCCTATAAAGAACAAGACGGAAGAAAATAAAATAACTTCCTCCCTTTGGATCGGGAAGTTAAAAATCAATGGAAACTGTGAATTTCAGTACAATTATTCCATGAAAATTGATAGAAATTAGACATATTTAGCAGGGTTGCCAGATTTTGGCGATTTATAGCCAAAAACCTGTACAATTTTAGATGGGGTGACGTCACGATCTGGTGACACTGATATTTAGGTAATTATACTCCTGAATTTTTAATTATCTGAAAATTGGAAATTTCATTGCTTCCCC